ACTACCAGAGCTCCAACAGAATAGATTAGTAGGGAGTAAGTGTCATGGAGAAGTAGACCAGGTATAAGAGATGGGACCTGGGCAGGGTGGTTATTGGCTTGGAGACTAGTCACCAAGTTTGTTGGAGCTGTTAGTAAAGTGGTAATCAAGAGGGAGAGAGAGTCTGGCAGTCTTCTGTGAGTTGGGGACATCAGCATTAAGAACATACCTTCTTGATTCCTTATTTTAACCTTGGTTGCTTTCTTCTGGGGTTCTGTCTTTGGTTTGATTGTCTGAAGTTCTGGTGTAGCTTGATAACTGACCTCTAGTTAAGATGTAACTGAGCCATCAGATAGAATCTTTGGGGTGAAATGGGTGTTGGATCTTGATTAACTTCCTGCCTAGGAACAAATGTAGCTGGTGGTAATTACTTGGGTTGAATTATGTAAAGATGACACCCGGACTGCTGATTGACAGCTTGTCACATTTGTAGTCCCTGTGTTTTTGGATTAGAATGCTGATGATACACAGGCTGAGTAGATCCATGGTGCAATTATGAACTCTGACCAGACATTCCAACCTTAAGTCTCAGCTCCCTGGCTTACTACTTGTGTGGCCTGGAGCAAGTCCCCCGATTCCTCCACTTTCTGTACCTCAGATTCCATACTTGCAAGCATGGCGGCGGTGGTGGTAGATCAGGGTTGGTTGTGAGGATTAAATAAGATCATGCAGGTAAGGTGCTTGGTCAGGCGATTGTTGACTAAAGTTCAGTGGCTAAGAATTATCAGAGATGAGATCATGGACAAGTAAGTGATACTCCTGGTCTACCCAGTCAGCGTTTTTCTGTGTTTTTCCGTTGTATTAAAATATTTGTTTGAATCAAAACGAAAAACACGTTATGCTTTAAATTTTAGCATTAAATTAGAGTCAGTCCTTTCAAAGAAAAAAGTAATGTATGTAAAAAATTCATTCTGAAATAATAGCTTTTAATATTCTTTTGACTCTGCCTGTTCTTCATACAACATGCAACAAGTAAAGTGTATTTGTCGGTGAAGACCCGTATTTGTATCTCTTAACTGCTTTACTTAAAACTGGAGACAAAGGAATGCAACAGGGGTTTCTGCTTTTGATTCCGGGCACGAGCATCCCACCTCTGCTGAGGCTAGCACTCCCTGTTGGGCAAATGAGCGACGCTGGGCCGCCGTGCTCTGGCACGTACGCCATGCTTGTTACACCACCTTCTAAGCTAGTGGGTCAGAGGCAGACAACACCCATGACGGCTGCTGGGAGCCACTAAGGTGACTGTCCCCAAGAACCTCTGGCCAGAGAGCTCAGTTGTTGCCCAGTAGGAAACTACACAGGAGGAGCTTGTGTCCACGATGCAAAAAGGTTCAGAGCTGTCCGAAGCTCTCGGCAGTTCTCCTGCCTTGTCCTGCCTTTACAAGCGAAAGCTGCTTTTCATCTCCGAGTGGTTCACCTCGCCAGGGAGCCGTTCAGTGAGCATGAGCTCCTGCAGTAGCAGTAACCTCGCTGAGAGCGCCCCCGTGTGTCTGTGGCTTTTGTATTTTAGTAGTCCTGGTGTCGTCTTTACATAATTCAACCCAAGTAATTACCACTTGCCGCATTTGTTCGTAGGCAGGAAGTTAATTAAGATCTAACACCCATTTCATTCCAAAGATTCTCTCTGATGGCTCAGTTACATCTTAACTAGAGGACTTCGTAGCACTCTGTCTACATTTAGGAGACTCTTCGTGTGCATTCGTGTTAGGTTGTTGTGTTTTTAGCATTGACTCGATGGTGGGGTTTAGGGGAGCAATGGTTGGCGTTGCAGAAGTCCGGGTTAGACACTGCTGGGTTGTCACCTGTGTCTGTGACTCTGTGATGCCATTTCTGAATGCAGTGTTGCATGCTCTCTGTAGGACACATTCTCACTATTGTTGATGACTCGACAGTGGGGGTGGACTTTTTGTTGTTGTTGATAAAGTGCTTCTGGCTTTCAGGATGTGCATGTACAGGGCTCCTGCCTGATGGGCCACTGCCCGTACAGTCTCAGAACTAGAGGAAGACCCACAGCAGGGCTGTCACAGAGACACCATGATCAGTTTATGAATCGACACTTGATGGAATAGGTTACAGAGCCTCCACCCGGCCACACTGTCCTGTGTGAGTCTGTACCCAAAGAAGATGCTCACTGCTTGACGGTTTGTAAAGTACACGGCAAGAACAGAGGCTTGACCGTCAGCTTTCTGAGTACTGACTGGGTGCTATTCAGAGGCTGCCTGGTCTTTAAAATGGCCTCATAGAAAGATGACGAAGTTCCTGTGATCACCTCCTGTTGTTTCAGAAATGATGGTGGACATTCCTGTCTGTAAACTCAGGAAGTAAGATGTTTTGTGAAACATGAAGTTCTTTATTTTCTTAATATTATGCCTGAATATCTCAAACGGGATCATTCCCTACATCTGTTAACTCGGGCCATTACCCAGTGCTTCAGATTGAGTAGAATAGCATGGCTATATTAGAAAAATGGTATTCGTGTGGGCTGCCAGCTGTGGCCATGGACATTTGTTTAATACTCATCAGACATCATGGTGGCATTTGTTAAAAGGCATCTATTTCTACTGTTAAATTTCAGGAGAGAGACAGAATGTCTTTGGGTTTCATTTGCCTTTCTGTGATTTTTCTTTTTCAAAGTATTGCCGTCTGTGTTGAATGTAATATGTGTAATTTCATTACGAAGGAATTTACCAGGTCATTAACTGAAGTGAAGTAGCGCTGGGTATTCTGGTGGCTAATGGAGACGAAAGTGGTGTTTGAGATCTTTTTCATGTTCTGTGAACAAGACTGTGGATGTGTCTTGTGATTCGTTGTTCCGTTTTTACTGCTGTAGGGACGGAGAGCTGTTATTTATATGTTTTGTATTTTGGCAGCTTCAAACAGGACAGGCATTTTTAGGTGTGTTTTGAAATAGCCACGATGCAGATGTTACACGTACAGACAGCAAAGGTGTATGTCAGTTATCAGCACTTAAAGGGGATGTTCGTTTTCCTGGAGAAGCTCCACATTGTTATTTCAGTATCTTTGTTGCTGTTTCACGTAACTTCCATCCTAATTGATATCTCAGTTACTACTGAACTGGAGCTGTTTCTAGATTTAAAAGTAGAGTGTGTTAAATACAGTGAACAGGTACATACTGAGGAAAAGCAAAACCACCCTAAAGAAACAACAGTCTCTCACTGTAAGATGGAAAGTCCCCGTGCTGCTTCTTCCCCACTGGTAGAAGTGGCTGCCCTTTGAGGCAGTGCCTTTCACTCCTGGAAGGAGGGTGGGATTGTCTCCTGTGAGTCCCATGACAAGAGTTGAAGACCACAAAGTTTCCATTTCAAATTTCAAAAGAACTTTTTGTGTCATTTCAGCATTATGAAAATGTAATATTGTGATATAACTTGCACTTTCAGAAAAGTTCTCTTAACAGTTAATATACTGAATCACATATTGATGTAATTTACATTGAGAAAAAATTCTTGAAGTCTCCATTTTAAAATACCTTATCGAGGGCTTGGATGATATATTAATTGCATGGCTTTGGCATTCACTAATATTCTTTTAGGAATAGATTGACTTTTGGAGGAGGTGCCAGGTACATTTTGTAAACTTGAAACATTCATACGGTGGAGAGAATCCTGTAATGTTGTCAGGTGCCTACAACTTGTCAGATTTATGTCTGATCAGCAATTACTTTCATTCACGGCCAATCTTGTTTTATCTAGGCACTCCCTCCTATTCCTCTTCTCCCAAATGATTTTCAAGGAAAGCCCAGACATCATATAATTTCGTTGGTGAATATTTCAATGGGTCGCTTTAAAAGAGAATACAAATTGTTTGTATTCCCTGTGCGTCCTTGCCAGCGTTGTTGCAGAGAGGAAGTTCAAGAGTGCTTGCCTGCTATCCTCAGTGTTGTGTCTTACAGTGATTGGTTTGCATTTAGAAAGATGGAGAGTTTATATTACTCGGGTATTTTATTATTACCGTAAATCTCAGAGGATTTGGAATGTTGATTCCATAAGCATCGAAGAAGAAAACGTTATTAAGAGTTATCGTCGCGTATTATGTATGAAGTTACGTGACAGTCCTCATGTCAGAGCTGAGCTGTAGTTTGCTCTGTCCTTTGTTCATGCCCACCCTCCGCCCCCACAAGAAAAAGTTGGTATTATGAAGCTGAGAGAAACAGGCAGCATATAACACTCAGATGACATTCCATATGTCTGTGTGCTTATAGAGCAAAGAAGAAAATACACATGTGGAGCTGAGGGAAAGTGGGCAGGCTGGGGAAGCATCGAGACCACACCTGTGGAGCTGAGGGAGAGGGGGGCAGGGTGGGGAAGGATGGAGGCCACACCTGTGGAGCTGAGGGACAGTGGGCAGGGTGGGGAAGCATTGAGACCACACCTGTGGAGCTGAGGGACAGGGGGGCAGGATGGGGAAGGATGGAGGCCACACCTGTGGAGCTGAGGGACAGTGGGCAGGGTGGGTAAGCATCGACCCCGCTCCCTCTTTGGTTCATTCTCGTTCACACAGCCTCCTCACTGGGTCCTGGCATTCTTATTTCTCCCTTGTCTTAGTTTCCCTGTTGGTTTCTAAACTTTCCTGGGACAGTTAGGGTCAGGGAAATACTGATTCCACTTTGGAGGGTGTTTTATTGTGCAGGGATTATGAGATAAAACTAAAAAGAATGAAATTTTTAGGATTAATTTGTTCTATCTTACTTGCTTTCATACATGTTTTTAAAATGTTTGTTTAAATTAGTTCAAATACCTGGGTACCTGCTATGGACCAGGTTCAACCTTTACAGACTCTATGGTTGAATCATTCAATGTGTGAAGCCATTAATTTTATAGAGACTTTTAGGTTCTCTTTGGTGTTCTTATTGGAAGATTACATAATGATTTTTCTTTTTTCTGCTCTTCTTTTGCTGCCCGTGTATTGGATGAAATTTATTTTATTCAAATTCAACTATGAAGTTCACAAGATTCCTTTGCAGCTCACCTTTGGAGGTAAGAACATTTTTACTGACCCTGATCCTGGAATTACTAATTGAATGTCATTATTGGTATCTTTTGTTAGACATAGGAGCTCTGGTGGCACAATGGTTGAAGCATTCAGCTGTTAACCAAAAGGTCAGCAGTTTGAACCCATCAACCTCTCCATGGGAGAAAGATAGGGGCATTCTGCTTTCATAAAGATTTATAGCCCTGGAAACTCTGTGAGGTAGTTCTTCTCTGCCCCATAGGGTTGCTATGAGTTGAAATCAGTGCAGTGGTAGTGGCGTTTTTATTTAGGCATTTCATTTGATAATTTAGGAGTGATCATTTTGATGGGACAGACACATATTTTTCAGTAACAATAGTGCAGATTTTATGATGAAGATTTCTGTAAGTTACAGTTATTTGGATTTATAGGAACTTTTATAGCAGGTCATTGCCTCCAGGGTTTTAAAATTACATTTTCTTTTTCAATAATTAGAGGGACCTCAGTTCTTGACGTTAAAGAGCCTTGTTGTATCTCTAGCACTCCCGTAACTGTTTACGTAAACTACACTGGGGTTAAAAGAGCACGGGAGAAACCCCAGACCGAGGCTGTCAAGGAAGTTCCCATTGGTTGGAGAGGCTGTTGGAAGATCCCGGGGTTGATTAAGGAAGTGCAAGAGCAGGGTGTACATTGGTCTCCTGGTCTAGCACAGGCACTTCTCCAGGTGTTCACTTCACCTTCTCGTTCAGTCCTCACGTGGTCCTGCAGGCAGGGACACAGAATGCAGTGGTGACATTGTAGATCAAGGAAAACTGCCAGATGTTCAGAGAATGAGACATCACTGTGAGCTGCTGCGGTTTAAAACAGCCAGCCTGTTGGAAAACCAGACCCACTGCCCTCGAGTCAGTCCCGACTCATAGCAGCGGCACAGTTTTACTCATCCATGAAGGCACCATAGTGCAGAAGAGATACGTTGGAACAGTTTTGATGATGGCTCTTGGAACCAGGTGTTTGGCTGAGATGTAGTGGGTTGAATAGTGTTCCCCCAAAATTCATGTCCACTTGGAACCTCAGAATGTGACCTTTTTGGAAATAGCATCTTTCTCATTGTAGTTAAAGAGCTCGAGATAAAATCGTCCTGGATTTAGAACGGGCCCCAAGTCTAATGACTGGTGTTCTCATAAGAAGAGACACAGAGGAGGAACAGAGAGGAGGCCATGGGGAGACGGGGGCAGACATTGGGTGCTGCTGCCACAAGCCAGGGAATGCCGGGGCCACAGAAGCTGGAAGAAGTGGGGAAAGGTTCTCCTAGAGCCTTCAGAGGGACCATGGCCTGGTTGACACCTGGGCTTCAGAGTTCTAGTCTTAGAACTGAGAGAGAATAAATTTCTGTTGTTTCAAGCTACCAAGTTTGTGGTGGTTTGTAACTGTAGCCCTAGGTAACAAAATACGGATTTATATCAGGGCAGTCTCTCTGATCTGATGTAGAAACAGGGTCTAGCCTTGAAGGAAGGGCTGGTAGAAACTTAGGTGAAGCAATGCTAACATTTAATGCTGGACTCTTGGTTCAGCAAAAACTTAGAGGAGTGACCAAGAATAAGGCAGAGTTCAGCAGAAGGCAGTTGGGCTGGATTGGTTCACCTTTCTAAAGAGTATTTAGACTGTGACCTGATGTCCAGTCATTGGGGCAGGTAGCAGTAGACTGTGGAGGTAATGCTAACTAATGGCAAAGATGCTTCTAGGAGAACTCCCTGATGGAGTCTCGAATGAGACAGGCCCCCATGTTTCTTGTTTCCTTATGTTTGTTTTCATACTAAAACTGGTGTATAGGAGGCACTGAAAAAATGTGTTGAATGAAGGAGTGAGTGAACAAAGGAACGAATGAACTGGGTGAGGCTGAGAGTAATCGACTTTTACCCATAATTTGGTAAGATTAAACTATAAGCAGACAAAACTTGACATTTGTATTTTGAGAGAGTTTAACAGTCTATCTTCCCAGCCTGATTGTAGTTTCTTAAGCTCAAGATCATTGTCTTTTTCATTGTTGGAGCTCTCGGTTATAGATAGGGCTTGTCACCTATAGAATGCTGCAGTGCAATGAACTACTTTGTATGGCTCTTTTAGCCATGGTCTTGAGACTCCCACAAGATGATTGAGTAGGACTATGCAGATAAGGTGCGTGGAACCCTTGGGAGGGTTGTTGTTGTTGTTGTTATGTGCTGTCGAGTTGGACCCGACTCATAGCGACCCCTCCTTGGGTATCAGAAGCAGTATCACTATGGAAATAGATGGCCCCATCTTCCTTCCGAGGAGTGGCTGGTGGGTTTGAACTGCCAGCCTTCTGGTTAGCAGTCAAGTGCCTTAGGCACTATGCTACCGGAGCTCCTCCTTGGGACGGTGGGACCATGCAAATGAGGTGTATAGAACCCTAATGAAGGGATTTGTCAGTTTTGCTATCTCACTGGACTTAAAAGAGAGCCAGTCCCAGAGCAGAGAGGGGATCTCACTACCATCAGAAGAAGAGCCAGGAGCAGAGCACATTTTTGGACCCAGGGTCTCTGTGCTGAGAACCTCCTAGACCCAGGAGAGAGGCAGAGCTGTAAAACTGGAGAGGGCGTGAGATGGTGAGAAGCGTAGCAGAGAAACAGTGGGAGCAGAGCCAGGAGACTGGTGTGAGATGGCCCAGTGGGCTTCCTGGCCCATGGAGTAAGGTAGCTACAGTGGGTGTGCCAACCATAGAGCAAGGAAGCTGAGGAGTGACCAAGAATAAGGCAGAGTTTGTGCTCAAAGTTTACTGGCAGAGTGGGGTGCTTCCAGGTACTTATTGTGGAGCTAAAGAGCTTTTTATCACTTGCCCTAGGCAGGCAGAGGTCTAGGGGCTCAGAGGGTGAGGGCCAAGAGAGGGAGCCTGTCCTCGGGGCTCAGAGGAGCCCTGCATGGCCAGGAGGAGTTGAGGGAGCTGTCCTGCACTGAAGAAGGGAGGCTCTGCCGATGTGTTTGCTGAACCTGATGGAGAGTTGTATCCTGTTACTTCCTTAATAAACCACTTAAGTGTGAGTATGATCTGTGAGTTCTGTGTGGCCATTGCAATGAATTATGGAACCCAGCAGAAAAGTAGAGTGCCATGGGGGGGATGGCTGGTGTCAGAATTGGTCAGCCATGAGACACCAGAGGAGCAGCATTCACAGAGGGAAAGCTGGACAGACAGGAATGCACGGTTAAAAAGGGCACAGGGAGGTGGTAGTCATGGGGACAGGACAGGACAGGAGGAGAGTTTGGTATGGTCAGGGATGATAATCAGGGTGTGAAATCAGATGTGCAGGAGCTGTTGAATGTAAAACAAATTTCCTCCTAAATTTGCACCCAAAGCACAATAAAATTAAAAAAAAAAAAAAAAAGGTTGGGGAGAGGAGGTATGTCTGACTGCTGCCTCGTGGCAGTCAGCCTTGGGCTGATGTTGATGGTAATTCTGGATTCTTTTTTTTTTACATTTGTATTGTGATTTGGGTGAAAGTTTACAGAGCAAATTCATTTTCCCTACAGTAGTTCACACACATTTTGTCTGCCATTTCCCACATTGACTGCAATTTCCTACAGTGTAACAGCTCTCTTCCCACTTCCTATAGTTATGTCCTTCCCTCCCATGCACTCCTGCCCCCTGACCTGTCTCCCTGTGTGTACCCTGCCCTTCTGTTCTCCCATGATTGATCTCTCCAAGGAGTGCATCTACCTTATGTAAGTGTTCCTCATGTGTCTGTTTGGTTGAAAGCCGCAGGAGTGAGTTCAATTCCAGAACTGAAGGGCAGCTAGGGGCTATAGTGTCAGGGGTTTTACAAGGCTCTATCAGATCAGCAAACCTGGCCTTTTTTTTTTTTTTTTTTAATGATACTGAGTTTTGTTCCACATTGTTCTCCCACTCTCTCCAGGATCTCCTACATAGATCCCCCTCTGAGTGGTTGACAGTGGTAGCTAGGTGCCATCTAGTTCTTCTGTTCTTGTAGTCATATTGGCTAAGGATTACATGGTATACCAGTCCCTTAGACTAATTATTTCCATGTGTCTTTGGTTTTCTTTATTATTCTTTGCTCTGGATGAGGAGAGAGACCCATTGTTGCATCTAGATGGCCGCTTGCAAACTTTTAAGATCCCAGTTGCTACTTGCCGAAGTAGGATGTGGAACAATGTTTTGTGTAGTATGTTATGCCAATTGAGCTTAATGTCCCCTGTGACCATGGTCCCACACCCACAGGTTCAACTACTCGCTCCCTCCCGGTAACTGGCTGTGGCCATGAAGTCACCACAACCTTGTCCCTTGTCAGCTCTACCATATACCTGGCCATTCTTACAGCCATACAAATACGCTTGTAGAAATACTGTCTGCCAATCCTGTACATGGTCATGGGCACACTGCCATGCACAGACGAACCTGCTTGTCTGGCCTGTCCCCCAGAGGTGGTAATCCTTCTCCTTCCTTGTGAGTTAGACAACTAGGTCCGACACTACCATGCCATTTTTCACATTTTCCAAACAATTTTCTTTCTTAATTGCATTTTATTACTATGCGTAAATATTGGGAACATATATGTGGAAGCTTTAATCCTGGGGGAAAGAGAAGGGAAAGTAACATGATCGAAGTGTAGTGCTAGTTCTGCCATCTTCTGTCTGATCTGCTTGCCCTACTTGGTCCAGAGTTAGAATTTAACTCGTTCTTCCTACTGGGCGTGTGGACGTGGGGGGAGAAACACAATCACAATAAGAGACGACCAAGGTGCTTCTGTTTTCTTGGTGAGAAATGCTTTGAGGGCTTTCAGTCGGTATTTTTCTAGCCTGGAATTGCATGGTGGCCATCTGATGGCTTAGCTCACGATGACTGCTCCCAGGTCTCCCTCAGCAGCTCTGAGCTGGGAGCCGAAGCAGAGCCAAGGTAGAAGAATGTTGGGAAAATGCACCAGTCTCTAAATACTTAACTTTGCGGTAAGCAAATGTTTAATCCAGAGACGGAAAATTACAAGTATGGTAACACCTT